AGGGTTAGGGTTTGTGAGAGATTGTATACTTCTCAAATTATAGGTGTTTATCTTCTATGTATTTGGGTGTGTTGTTTTATGCCAATGAAGTAAAATATAATGTTTTCCCTAAACTCTCTGGAAGCTCATCTCCTTCTTATCACAAAGTTCAGTTGTTATATATGTAAATACATAGGAATTGTGCGGCATGTGTGTAAAGCACCCTAAGAAAAAACTTTAGTGGTTCAAGCAATAAAGAAAAAAAGTTGCAAAATCATAGCATTATGTCATGTTAATGTCGATATATAGTCTAACCCAAAACTTTGCCTATATAAATATATATATATATATATATATAAACCCAATGGCTAATATATTAAAGAGAAAAGATACCAATAGGTTGTATGAGTGGACCAAAAAATAGACACCTAACCCACATGGTACAACACACAAAAAAGTCAAAATGGGTACATATAAAAATCAAAAAAGCCCAAAACCACCAGATCGCTAAGGGTCATTCCAATTTAGTTCTGCCTATGCCTCTAATTCTCGAAAGGGATCCAACTAACAAATTGGTAAGGTGCGTACCATTAACCGAAGTAACCAAAGTATTATCCAAAAAACTCCTGAGCTCGAGCAGATCTCCATTCTTCTTCTTCCTCCTGAAAGTGTAAACTTGTCATTCTTCATCCAAATAATCAGTCTGATGAGGTGTAGAACTGTAGCAGAAGAATTACCAACCATAGTACCCACAATAAGTTCTAATGTATGTGAAGTATGAGTTGCATCTACACCGGAAACTTCCTGAAGATGAGGAGCTACGAGATTCTCTTGATTATCAGTCTGAACACTATCCTTTGTAGGTAAAAGTTCTTCAGTATTGTCTTTCATGGGGTTTGAAGGTGTCAGCATCACATCAATCGCAGTAACGGTAACAGCAGTATAAGGGGGGGTTCCACAGGCGCAACAGACACCTCCTGTCTGACAGTATCCTCCTCAGGTGGAACTGAAATATCTGGAGCAGTGGGGTTAGACCCATCATTATCCACTTGAACCTCAGATTTCAAATTAGAATGGAACTTCTGGCATTTATCAGGGATATGCCCAAACATCTTACAGTTGGTGCAATATGGAGGTCTGCAATATTACAGTTGGTGCAATATGGAGGTCTGTGTTCCATGACGATTTGTTGCCAATATTCATTATGAGTTATGCCTAGCCAGACTTCAGTAGCATCAGGTAAAATAATCTCTTTCTATAAGTATTCTGGCCACAGAAGATCTGGTTAGATTGAAAGTTGGTAGACCTAGCTTCATAGGATCCCCAAGTATTGCACCAATAGAGTAAAAAGAACCTGAAGATGAAAAAAGCGGAGTTTGAGACCAGGTAGACTAAATCAGACTAGTGCAGTAGGAGATTCATGATTAAGGTCAAAATTGGGAGACCACTTGAGTAACTTCATTGACTTGTCTGCAATGATAAGATATTTTTTTAGAGAAAATCTGAGTGCAGTCTTCAGTCACAGTTAATTGGATCAACACATGTCTCTCATCTATGAGCTTCACTTTCCACTTTCCTGCTAGTTTGAGGTCATTAAAGCTTTTTCTGATAACTTTCATCAGTGCGTGCCCCCACTGAAATTTTTCAATGAAAGCAAATTTGAATTTCTCAGTGAGGGCAGAAATTTCTAACTCAGAGAAAAAAAGAGATGTTTTCCCACTTTTCCTAATTGCATTCTTAACAAAGGGGTCGTAACTTGTACCATCACGACAATCCTTATAACTTGAAGGGAAGACAACCGTCGACTCCCCTTGAGAATTACCCACCACGTGGGCAAAGAAGGTTTTGACGGGTTCAAACGAAGAAGAATGAAGAGCCATGAGAGTAGGAAATCCACCTGTTAGATGATCTCAAAAAAATTTAGATGTTCTAAAAAAAATTGTGGTCGGCGAAGAACAGAAAGACGAAACTTCGGCGTCGAACATAAAGAAGCAGACCCGAACCAAAGTTGTCGGGCAGGAAAACTGCGCAGAAGGGTGCGGCTGGACGTCGTCGTCGAAATCGAAGCAAAACGGCTGGACTCGTCGAGCAGACGCGAACGCGTCGTCGTCGAAATCGAGAGACGTAGACGAACCGTCGACGTCGAAGAAGGACGCGAGCCGACGAAAAAGAAAAGCGAGCGGAAGCGGACGAGGAATCCTTCGAGCGACAGAATCAATGACGACGAAAATCGCCATTTGAAACATTCGAAACCCTAGCAAAGCACTTGTCCGCCATGATGATATTATGATATATATATATATATATATATATATATTATGAAGTCACAATGTAAGTGCTATAAATACATGATAGCCTCCAAGGTTCCATAATTGGCCACTTCATTTTGTAGCCCTCCTCAATATCATTCACGTACGACAATTTTGTATCTTCATATGTAAATTGTAACAAAGAAACAGTAATTGCATAAAATTGGATATATACGATACTTTTCAACAGTTCATATAAACAACATATGAAAGGCATCATTTGCTGATAATGTCGGTTGATGCCACTGCAAAACACATGCAAACCATAAGCCACCCCAACCTAAATAATAAGGAAGCAACCCAAACATAAAGAGGACATTATTATGGTACCTTTGGCTTCACTGAAGCTAGAGAAGTGCTCGTTTCATGCAGAGGGGCAAAACTTTACAACTCACAATCAATCATTAGAAAAATAGTGCCAATTTTGCTAAAACCATGTGAAGTTGAGACAGGAGGATCAATGCAAAAGTTGAGAGAAGACAAGGAAAGAATAAAAAAAACTAAGGAAGTTTAAAAAAAGATAAAACATACAAAGCATCAAATATATATTCAAACAATTTCAATCATACTCAATTATTCCAAGAGCCTTGAAAGACTATTTATAAAGGCTGCTAGAGGAAGACTCGGATAATCTTTTGTTATTGTGGCAAGATAGGGAAAATCATCTTATTCGGAATTCCATTCTGAAGAAGAGACAAAAAGAAATGCATCCCAAAGAAAGAAGAGTGAAGGAGCCACTTTCTTAAAAGAGACGAATGATAAACAACATCATCTATAGTACATTCAAGAAGATCCAGGTAAAAAAAACCTCTTGAAACAATAAAGGATTCCCGAAAGCAAGATTTACCACCCCCCCCCC